ATTCCACACAAACTTGCATACTCATATAAACATATATGCATAAATAAAATCATCCAATCGTAGTTTACATTTGTCTGTATGACAGAAATGTGATTGAATAATTTTCCTTATGCATATGGTTATGTGGCTCTGCAAGTTTGTGTGAAATGGCCCCTAATGGCAACATTAATACTGCGACAGAGTAACCGACGCTTTATTTCGACGCGCTTACAGCAGCCCTTACCCCGGATCTACAATAAATGTTTTAAGCCGTAAGTCGTAAGAAATTGACCAATTACAGTCGAATCCGAGAAGAATAAGCGACTGTCAGTCGCCCATTTCTTATGGCTTAAGGCTTAAAATCCTATTGCAGATCTAGACTACAGCGCCAAAGCAAACGATTAATTGTTACAATATTCTGAAAAATTTATTTAGGTTCACGTAAACGTACTCAAAGAATTCCGTTATATTCTAAGAATTCCGTTATATTCTTGGAGCAGAATAATTAATCCTTACATAATCTGCTCCAAGAACAACATACACAGTCTGTCTCAAAGTAAACAGGACTTTTTCAAAATAAGAACAACAAATGGTATTTTCGGTAAAATTGTTTTATTTTATTCAAAATAGTCTCCTTCCGCTTCGATACACTGATTTGCACGACTTAACAACTTTTCGAATGACGATTTTAGGTCGTTGGCCGGTATGGCTCGGAGGATGTCGATACACGCCTCTTGAATGGCCGGAATGTCAGCATAGCGCATGCCTTTCATCGGCAAATGAAGTTTTCCGAATAGATAAAAGTCACAGGGTGCCAGATCAGGCGAATATTAATGTTGTAAAGGAAGTTTTTGTCCTTTTTCGACTCTTTAACGATGTCCTTACAATGTTGGATTCTGAGCGATTTTTGGTCGTCAGTGAGTTTGTGCGGTACAAAGTGAGAACAAACCTTCCGATAGCCCAATTTTTCGGTCAAAATGCGATGAATCGAATCTTTGGACATTCCCAATTCGATTTCCATAAAACGCAACGACGATTTCGGATGAATGTTGAGAAAATCACGCACTTTTTCGATGCTCTCTGGCGTAATCACGAATTTGGCCTGGCCAACATGAGGGTCGTCATTGATGTCTTCACGACCGTTTTTAAAACGCGTATACCACTCATGAACTCTTCCACGGGATAGGCAATCATCACCATAAACTTGTTGCATCAATTGAAACGTTTCGGTAAACGTTTTACCGAGTTTAAAACAAAACTTAATGTTGGCTCTTTGTTCAATGCTCATTTTTGTACCGACAACGCAAACCTACTGTCACTTTAGGCGCAATAACTTTGCTTCCAGTGAACCAAATGTCATGAAATTTTCACTGGAAGTCTGGAACAAATGTACCTTTCCAACGCCTATAGCCGCATTAAGATGGCGCCGCCAGAAATGTCCCAATTGAAAAAGTCCTATTTACTTTGAGACAGACTGTGTATATGTCCCATGTGCTCCTCTGGGCCATTTCTTCTTGATAACTTGTAAATCAGTACAGTAATACCATTCCGATTGTTTGTCTGTTCTCAACATACACGTATAGTGACCACGATTCATTTCTTCGCCCTCGTGAAATATAGCACTTATTACCTTGTATTTTCTTTTATTAATCGTGACATTACTCGTCGGTACGGCGTTAATCCGATTGTCGATAAGTTTTTTAGAAACACCGTTTATAAAAGTGTATAAATTGAGCTGTATTACTAAGACGGATGAAGTCGATTCAATTGCGGTTTTCTTTTTCAGAACGATACTGTTACATTCGTCACAATTACCATTTATCGTTTCCCATTTTGAAAATTCTGAATCAATCAAAGTTTGCAGAGTGACACCTTTTTTCCTTTTCAATGTGGACTGCATAGGTAATATTAGCAAACAACTCTTTTCCAACGTAGTTACATTGCAATTACATTTAGCATTTGAACAACATATTAGGTGCTTCAATTCGACTTCTAATACATCATTGATTTCGGAATACGTCGACATTAAAGCCGTGAAAAATTCCGAAACATCTTGTTGTGTTCGTTCTTCGAAGCGTTCTCCGACAGATCTTCTAACCGCTAAAATATTGCAACGCTTACGCTCAGCATACGCGCAGACAGCATCAGTCAATGCGTTCGATACTCTATTTTTAAGTATTTGTTGCCTGATACGTACACAATGAAACGCACATTGCAATGTTACATTAGCATAGCACGAAACACGATCGTCATTGCAAAGGCCGTATATTTCCCATGTAACTATATTTTCTGGTTCAGCACAACCGTAATTCTGTACATCATCAATGATATGAGGTATTGCCCATCGACAGTCGTAAATTTTCACAGCCTTTTTCTCGGACGAATTGATTTGTGGTAGCTGAGATTTGAATACAGATCTCAGTCGATTATATTCTGCAATGGCTCCCGAGTTTACTCTAACGGATTGAAATTTATCAAATGTAGATCCTCCAGTGTACTCACTCGTGACAGACCTACATACACTTGACCATCAGTGAACACACTCGTTCCTAAATCCATCATTGCATTTTTACACGTAATTCCTTGACTTTTATGTACAGTTATTCCATAACTGAGAGACAATGGAAATTGTTTCCGATGTACCACTATTTTGTGGAATACTTCGAATTTAATATCTACTCTCGTTATTATGACTTGTTTATTATCAGAAGTAACTATTGTAACGGAATCAATACGATTTCCATCAACAGAGCGATGAATCGCAATTACAATGCCTATCGTTCCATTGACAAGTCCCAAAGTGACATCAATGTTTCGTCGAATCATCACTTTAGCGCCAATTTTAATCGCTCTTTAATTACTCTTTCAATACCAGCTGTTTCCGAAACTTTTTCATCTTTGTCTTTTAAAATTTTGTGCA